GGTCACTTTCGGCCGCCTGTGTGGGTCTGGGGGTGACACTTTGGGGACCCCGGTGACAAAGGGGGAGTGGGGGGCCTCCGGCCACCTGCGGCCACCTGCGGCCACTCCCGGACACTTTGGTCACCCCCGGCCACCTGCGGCCACCTTTGGTCACCTGTGGTCACCTGCGGCCGCCGTTGTGGGTCTGGGGGTGACACCTTGGGGACCCCGGTGACAAAGGGGGGGTTGGGGGGGGGGGGTGGGGGAGGTGGCAGCGGTTGGGGTGGGGGAGGGGGCGGGGCGGGGTGGGGGAGGGGCGGCCGCTCCTCATTTCGGGGAAGGAGCGGGCGCGGGGCCAGCGCGGGGCTTGCGACACCGCGGGGACAGCGCGGGGACAGGAGGGGACAGAGCGGGGACAGCGGGGACAGTGAGGGACAGCGGGGACAGGAGGGGGACAGAGGGGGACAGAGGGGGATGTAGGGGACAGCGGGGGACAGGAGGGGACAGGAGGGGCACAGAAGGGACAGGAGGAGACACAAGGGACAGGAGGGACCAGTGGGGACAGTGGGGGACAGAAGGGGACAGCAGGGACGGGGGGACAGTGGGGACAGTGGGGACATCAGGGAGGGACAGGGGGACATCAGGGACACCAGGGGACAGCGGGGGACAGTGGGGGATGTGGGGAACACGAGGGGACAGCGGGGACAGAGGGGGACACAGGGACAGCAGGGGATGTGGGGACAGCAGGGACATCAGGGGACAGGAGGAGATACAAGGGACACGAGGGACAGCGGGGACAGTGGGGGACAGCAGGGGACATGAGGGGACAGCAGGGACATCGTGGGGACAGCGGGGGACAGAAGGGGACATCAGGGAGGGACAGGGGACATGAGGGACACCAGGGGACAGCGGGGGGGACAGCGGGGACAGTGGGGGACAGAAGGGGACAGCTGGGACAGTGGGGGACACAGGAACAGGAGGGGACAGCAGGAGACACAAGGGGACAGCGTGGGGACATCAGGGACAGTGGGGGATGTGGGGAACACGAGGGGACAGCGGGGACAGCGCGGGGACAGCGCGGCGGGGAGGGACACCCGGGGGTGGGGGGGACATCAGGGGACATCAGGGGACATCAGGGGACAGCGGGGAGAGAGCTGGGGATGGCCCGAGGGACGGGGAGGGGACACTGGGGGGTGGCACTGGGGTGGCACTGGGGACATTGGGGGACAACTGGGGACACGGGGGGACAATTGGGGACACGGGGGGACAATTGGGGTGGCACTGGGGAGACACTGGGGACAGCCAGAGGACATTGGGTGACACTGGGATGGCAGTGGAGGGGCCCTGGGGGACACTCGGGGTGGCACGAGGGACACAGGGGGACACTGGGGGACACTGAGGACATTGAGGGGACACTGGGGACACTGGGGACATTGAGGGGACACTGGGGGACACTGGGGACATTGGGGACATTGAGGGGACACTGGGGACATTGGGGACACTGGGGACATTGAGGGGACATTGAGGGGACATTGGGGGACATTGAGGACATTGAGATGGCAGTGGGGGACATTGGGGGGACACTGAGGGGACAGCGGGGACAGCCACCGTGTCCAGGCCACCTGGGCCCCTCCTGGGCACACCTGGGACACCTGGGGACACCTGGGGACATCTCAGACACACCTGGGGACACATGGGGACACCCTGGGGCACTCCTGTGCACACCCATTTGAGGAGGGGGCAGGAATAGACCCCAAAAGGGGGGTTCAGACCCCATTTGGGGAGGGGTCCATAACCGATTTAGGGTCCCAAACCCCATTTGAGGAAGGGTCCCAAACCCCATCTGGGGGGTCCCAAAACCCAGTTTCGGGAGGGGTCCCAAACCCAATTTGGGGTCACAAACCCCGTTTGGGGAGGGGTCCCAAACCCATTTGGGGAGGGGTCCCATAACCGATTTGGGGTCTCAAACCCAATTTCGGGAGGGGCCCCAAACCCGATTTGGGGAGGGGTCACAGACCCCATATGGGGAGGGGTCCCAAACCCGATTTGGGGAGGGGTCACAGACCCCATATGGGGAGGGGTCCCATAACCGATTTAGGGTCCCAAATCCCATTTGGGGTCACAAACCCCATTTGGGGGAGGGGTCCCAAACTCGATTTGGGGAGGGGTCCCAGACTCCATTTGGGGTCCCCAAACCCGATTTGGGGAGGGGTCCTATAACCGATTTAGGGTCCCAAACCCCATCTGGGGAGGGGTCCCAGACCCCATTTGGGGAGGGGTCCCCCCCCATGCCCATTTCTGGGGGGTTTTCAGCCCCCATTTGGGGAGGGGTCCCAAACCCATTTGGGGTCACAAACTCCATTTGGGGAGGGGTCCCAAATCCCATTTGAGGAGGGGTCCCAAACACGATTTCGGGGTCCCAGCCCCCATTTGGGGAGGGGTCTCCCCATGCCATTTCTGGGGGTTTTCAGCCCCCATTTGGGGAGGGGTCTCCCCAATGCCCCATTTCTGGGGGGTCCCAAACCCCATTTGGGGAGGGGTCTCCCCAATGCCCATTTCTGGGGGGTTTTCAGCCCCCATTTGGGGAGGGGTCACCCCCATGCCCATTTCTGGGGGTTTTCAGCCCCCATTTGGGGAGGGGTCACCCCCATGCCCATTTCTGGGGGTTTTCAGCCCCCCATTTGGGGTACCGCACACCCTGGGGTGGGGAGGGGGTCCCTGTGTGATTTGGGGAGGGGGCAAATGCGCCCCTCCCCCCCCTCTGCGCCCCTCCCCCCCCCAAATCCCCGACGCCCCCCTCCCCAAATAAAGCAGACCCCGCTCGGGTTTTAGGGTTTTTTAATCTCGGCCCCTTTTCCGGGCGGTTTCACCCCAAAAATCCGCGAGGGCCCCGCCCCTCCCCTCCCCCTCCCCCCCCCGAGCCGCCCGCGGCCCCCCCGCCCCCCCCCCCCAATGAAGGATGAGGGGGGGGGGACCCCAAAAAGGGGGGGAGGGGATGTGGGGACCCCTCCCCTAAATACAGCCCTGGGGGGGGAGGGGGGGGCAAGGACAGGGGGGGGACCCCAAAATTGGGGGGACAAGGACACCCCAAGATCCCCAAATTGGGGGGGGTCAAGGACACCCAAAGACCCCAAAATTGGGAGGGGGGGGTTAAGGACACCCGGGGACCCCAAAATTGGGGGTCAAGGACAATCAGAGACCCCCAACTTTGGGGGACAAGGACACCTGGGGACCCCCAAAATGGGGAGGGGTCATCAGGTGTCCTTTGCCCCCAAAATGGGGTGGGGATAAGGACACCCAGAGACCCCCAAAATTGGGGTGGGTCGAGGACACCTGGGGACCCCAAAATGTGGGGTGAAGGACACCTGGGGACCCCTAAAATGGGGGGCACAGAGACACCCCAAAGACCCCCAAAATGGGGAGGGGTCAAGGACACCCCAAGACCCCCAAAACTCGGGGGGAAAGACACCTGGGGACCCCAAATTTGGGGGACAAGGACACCTGGGGACCCCCAAAATGAGGGGGGGGTCAGAAGACCTGGAGACCCCCAGGACCCCAAAAATGGGTGAGGGGTCTTCAGGTTGTCCTTGGCCCCCAAAATGGGGGGGGACAAGAACACCCAGAGACCCCCAAAATTGGGGTGGTCGAGGACACCTGGGGACCCAAAATGGGGGGCACAGAGACACCCCAAAGACCCCCAAAATGGGGGGGGGGGGGGAAAGTGGGGACCCCTAAATTGGGGGGGACAAGGAGACCTGGGGGACCCCCAAAATGGGGGGGGAAAGAGGCACCCAGAGACCCCCAAAATGGGGAGGGGTCAAAGACACCCCAAGACCCCCAAAACTCGGGGTGAAAGACTCCTGGGGACCCCAAATTTGGGGGACAAGGACACCTGGGGGACCCCCAAAATGAGGGGGGGGTCAAGAAGACCTGGAGACCCCCAGGACCCCAAAAATGGGAGGGGTCTTCAGGTGTTCTTGACCCCAAAAATGGGAGGGGACAAGAACACCCAGAGACCCCCAAAACTGGGGGGACAAGGACACCCAGAGACCCCCAAAAATTGGGGTGGGTCGAGGACACCTGGGGACCCCAAAATGGGGGGGAAAAGAGACACCCCCAAAGACCCCCAAAACGGGGGGGGGGGGGGGGGCAAGGACACCTGGAGACCTGGACACCCCGAATTTGGGGGACAGGGAGACCCAGAGCAGAGATGGGGGGCTTGGGACAGGGACACCCCAAAACCCCCCAGGACACCTTGGGGGTGACCCCAAAACCCTGGGAACAGGCGGATGACCCCAAAACCCTTGAGATCGGGGACAGGGACACCCCAAAACCCCTGAGAATGGGGACAGGGACACCCCAAAACCCCCTGAGACAGCGGGGTGACCCCAAAACCCCCTGAGACAGCGGGGAGGACCCCAAAACCCCTCTGAGCTCTGAGATTGGAGACAAGAGCACCCCAAAACCCCTCAGAGCTCTGAGCTCGGGGACAGGGACACCCCAAAACCCCCCGGGACAGCGGGGTGACCCCAAAACCCCCCGGGACAGTGGGGTGACCCCAAAACCCCTTGGAGCTCTGAGACTGGGGACAAGGACACCCCAAAAACCCCGGGATGGTGGGGGTGACCCCAAAACCCCTCTGAGTTCTGAGACTGGGGACAGGAACACCCCCAAAACCCCCGGGACAGTGGGGTGACCCCAAAACCCCCCGGGACAGTGGGGTGACCCCAAAACCCCTTGGAGCTCTGAGACTGGGGACAGGAACCACCCTAAAAACCCCTCAGAGCTCTGAGCTCGGGGACAGGAACACCCCAAAACCCCCGGGATGGTGGGGTGACCCCAAAACCCCCGGGACAGTGGGGTGACCCCAAAACCGCCCTGAGCTCGGGGACAGGGACACCCCAAAACCCCCGAGGAGGAGGAGGAGGAGGAGGAGGAGCCCAGCGGGATCCCCCCAGCGCCAGGGGCTGTTCCAGGGGGTCCCCCCCGAGTCCCACACCCCCGGAGGGTTTTGGGGGTCCCTATGGGGGCAGGATCTGCTCCAGGAGGGGTTTTGGAGGCGGGGCGGGATCCGGTCCGGGAATTTGACCTCGAACTCGATGACGAGGTCCCCGCGCAGCTCCGGGGAGCGCGGCAGGGGCAGCCCCTCCCCGGGGACGCGGCGCTTGACCCCCGGCTTGAGCACGTCATGGAACACCATGGGGATGGAGCGGCCATCGAGCGTGGGGACGGTCACCGTGCAGCCACACAGAGCCTGGGGGGACACGGGGACACGGGGACAGGTCAGGGACATGGGGACATGGGGACAGGTCAGGGACAGAGAGACGGGGGACATTCCATGTCCTGGAACACCATGGGGATGGAGCGGCCATTGAGGGTGGGGACGGTCACCGTGCAGCCACACAGAGCCTGGGGACATGTCAGGGACACGTCAGGGACATGGGGACGTCAGGACATGTTAGGGACATGGGGACAGGTCAAGGACACGTCAGGGACATGGGGACACAGGGACAGGTCAGGGAAGGGGACAGGGGGACACATCAGGGACAGGGGGACACAGGGGACATGGGGACAGATCAAATACACAGGGACACAAGGGACCCGTCAGGGGACAGGTCAGGCACATAGGGACATGGGGGACACGGGGGACACGGGGACAGGTCAGGTACATAGGGACCACGGGGGACATGGGGGACACAGGGGACATGGGGACAGGTCAGGGACACAGGGGACACGGGGGGACAGGTCACCAACAGGGGACAGGGTGGACATGTCAGCGCTGGGCCAAGGGACACCCCTGGCATGGCCCCAGAGTGACCTCAGAGTGACCTCCAAAGTGACCCCCAGAGTGACCCCAGAGTGACACCAGAGTGACCCCAGAGTGACCCCTTGGCCACCCATTGTGTCCCCCCACCCAAGCTGTCCCACCTGTGACGTCCCCCGGTATCCCCACCAAGCCCACCCGTGTCCCCACTGCCACCAACCCAACCCTGACGTCCCCAACACCACCCAGCCCCAGTCCTGATGTCCCCATCTGACGTCCCCCACCCACCACCCACCACCCCATGTCCCCACTGCCACCCACCCTTGATGCCCCCACCAAGACCAACCCAACCCCAATGTCCCCACCATCACCCAGCCCTGATGTCCCCAAGATCACCCCATCTCCAATGTCCCCCCAAGCCAACCCAGCCCTGATGTCCCCAAGCCCACCCCATCTCCAATGTCCCCCCAAGCCCACCCAGCCCTGATGTCCCCACCAACACCAACCCGACATCCCCACCAAGACCACCCCATCTCCAATGTCCCCACTGCCACCCCGGCACCACCCAACCACTCGTGATGTCCCCCACCAAGCCCATCAGCCCTGATGTCCCCACCAAGCCCACCCCCATCTCCAACATCCCCCACCAAGCCCACCCTCAATGTTCCCACCATCACTCATCTCTACTGTCCCCACCACCACCCACCCCTTGATGTCCCCAAGCCCACCCCATCTCCAATGTCCCCACCAAGATCAACCCATCTCGAGCATTCCCATCAACACCAACCCCCTGATGTCCCCACTGTCACCCATCTCCAACGTCCCCAACCAAGCCTCCCACCCATTGATGTCCCCACCAAGCCCACCCCATCTCCATCCCCACTGCCACCCAGCACCACCCACCGCTCATGATGTCCCCACCAAGTGCACCCCATCTCAAACGTCCCCACCAAGCCCACCCACCCTCAATATCCCCACTGTCACCCATCTCCAATGTCCCCACCAGGCCCACCCACCCTGATGTCCTCAGGACCACCCCATCTCCAACGTCCCCACCAAGCCCACCCACGCTGATGTCCCCACTGTCACCCATCTCCAAGGTCCCCACCAATCCCACCCATGCCGATGTCCCCCACTGTCACCCATCTCCAACGTCCCCACCAATCCCACCCATGCTGATGTCCCCACTGTCACCCACCCCATCTCCAACATCCCCACCAAGCCCACCCACCCGGATGTCCACACTGTCACCCATCTCCAACATCCCCACCAATCCCACCCTCCATGTCCCCACCAAGCCCACCCCATCTCCAAGGTCCCACCAATCCCACCCACCCCGATGTCCCCACTGTCACCCATCTCCAACGTCCTCACCAATCCCACCCACACCCGATGTCCCCACTGTCACCCATCTCCAACCGTCCTCACCAATCCCACCCACCCTGATGTCCCCACTGTCACCCATCTCCAAGGTCCCCACCAATCCCACCCTCCATGTCCCCATTGTCAACGTCCCCACCAATCCCACCCACCCTCAATGTTCCCACTGTCACCCATCTCTACTGTCCCCACCACCACCCTCCCCTTGATGTCACCAAGCCCACCCAGTGCTGATGTCCCACCAAGCCCACCCACCCCAATGTCACCACCAAGACCACCCCATCTCCAACGTCCCCCACTGCCACCCAGCACCACACCACCGCTCATGATGTCCCCACCAAGTGCACCCCATCTCAAAACGTCCCCACCAAGCCCACCCACCCGGATTGTCCCCACTGTCACCCATCTCCAACGTCCCCACCAATCCCACCCACCCGGATGTCCCCACTGTCACCCATCTCCAACGTCCCCACCAATCCCACCCACGCCAATGTCCCCACTGTCACCCATCTCCAAGATCCCCCACCAATCCCACCCACCCCGATGTGCCCAGGACCACCCCATCTCCAACGTCCCCACCAAGCCACCCACGCTGATGTCCCCACTGTCACCCATCTCCAAGGTCCCACCAAACCCACCCACCCTGATGTCCCCACTGTCACCCATCTCCAAGGTCCCCACCAAACCCACCCATGCCGATGTCCCCACTGTCACCCACCCCATCTCCAAGGTCCCCACCAAGCCCACCCACCCTGATGTCCCCACTGTCACCCATCTCCAACGTCCCACCAATCCCACCCTCCGTGTCCCCACTGTCACCCATCTCCAAGGTCCCCACCAAGCCCACCCACCCTGATGTCCTCAGGACCACCCCATCTCAAACGTCCCCACCAAGCCCACCCACCCTCCATGTCCCCACTGTCACCCATCTCCAATGTCCTCACCAATCCCACCCAACCCTGATGTCCCCACTGTCACCCATCTCCAAGGTCCCCACCAATCCCACCCACCCTGATGTCCCCACCAAGCCCCATCTCCAATGTCCCCACCAAGCCCACCCATCCCCTGATGTCCCCACTGTCACCCATCTCCAACGTCCCCACCAATCCCACCCTCCGTGTCCCCACTGTCACCCATCTCCAAGGTCCCCACCAAGCCACCCACCCTGATGTCCTCAGGACCACCCCATCTCCAACGTCCCCACCAAACCCACCCATGCCGATGTCCCCACTGTCACCCACCCCATCTCCAACATCCCCACCAATCCCACCCATGCCGATGTCCCCACTGTCACCCACCCCATCTCCAACGTCCCCACCAAGCCCACCCACCCTGATGTCCCACCAAGACCACCCCATCTTCAATGTCCCCACCAAACCCACCTGCTCCCTGACGTCCCCACCAAGACAACCCCATCTCCAAGGTCCCCACCAAACCCACTGACCTGTTGATGTCCCCAAGCCCACCCACTCCTTGATGTCCCCACCAGGCCCACCCCATCTCCAACGTCCCCACTGCCACCCAGCACCACCCACCGCTCATGATGTCCCCACCAAGCCCACCCACCCTGATGTCCCCACTGTCACCCATCTCCAAGGTCCCCACCAATCCCACCCATGCCCATGTCCCCGGGTGCCCCGGGGCCGCGCTGACCTCGCGCAGGCTGATCCTGGCCGGGTAAGACGATGTCGGAGCCGTCGCGCCGGAACACGTCGTGCGGCTTGTCCTTGAGCACGAACACCACGTCGGCTGGGATGTTGTTGGGCGTCTGGTCGCCCTCCTTGGGGAAGGTGATCTTGGTGCCCTCCTTCCATCCCCTCTTCACCTCGATGGTCAGGATCTTGTCCTCGTTCCTCACCGTCTTCCCGTCGGGGCCCAGGCGCTTGTGGGAGATCTTCATCTTCTTGGTGCAGCCGCTGTAGATCTCCTCCAGCGACACGCGCAGCTCGTGCAGCACGGGCGGGTCCTGCTTGCGGCCCTCGCCGCCCCGGCCCCGCGGGAAGCTGACGCTGCCGAATCCCCCCCACGTGGAAGGTGTTGAAGGTCTCGTCGCCGTCCTCATCGTCGCCGTTGCGCTGCACGAAGAAGGTGTCGAAGGGGTTGCGCCCGTCGAAGAACTCGGCGAACATGGCGTGCGGGGTCGCCGCGGAACGTGTAGGTGAAGGTGGGCCCGTTGGAGCCCCCCGGCCCGGGCGTGGGGGCTCCCCCTTTCAGCCCTGCGGATTTTGGGGCGTTGGGAGGAAGGTGGGGAAGGCGCCCATCAGCCCCTCCCCGCCCCCGGCCGCGGGGAGAGCCGCGGGCAGGGCAGGGCAGGGCCGGGGCGTGGGGCAGGGCCAGGGCGTGGGGAACCGTGGGGGAACCGGTTCTGCCCGTGGCGCCGACGCCGCTGACGGTCCCCGGACGGGCCCCAACAGGCCCAGCCGGCTCCAGCGGGTCCCCCCCGGCACCGCCCCGGCGCCCTCCCGGCCCCCCCCGGGCACTGCCGGCCCCCGCTGGGCCACGCGGGGCGCCCGGCCCGGAGCCCCCTCCCCGTGTGCCCCTCTCGGTGCCACCCGAGCCCTGAGCCCACCCTCCCGTGTGTGCCCACCGCCCCCAGCCGCCGATCCTGGCACTGGCACCTGGCACTGGCGCCTGTCCTCGCTGTCCCCTGCCCCCCCTCACCTGTCCCCTCACCTGTCCGTGTCACCTGTCCCCTCACCTGTCTTCACCCCGTGTCCCCCTCACCTGTCCCTGTCACCCGTCCCCCCTCACCTGTCCCTGTCACCTGTCCCCCTCACCTGTCTTCACGCCCCATCCCCCTCACCTGGTCCTGTCACCTGTCCTCACCCCCTATCCCCTCATCTGTCCCCCTCATCTGGCCCTGTCACCTGTCCCTGTCACCTGCCCCCCTCACCTGTCCCCCACCCTCTCACCCCCTCACCTTCCTTGCTGTCACCCCCAAGCCCCCCCACCCCTCACTCTCCCCCCAATCTCCCCTTCAGCCCCCCACCCTCACACCCCACCTGCCCCTCCTGTGCCCCCCAGACCCCTCCCCACCTAACCCTGGACCCCGTGACCCCCTCCCCACCTAACCCTGGACCCCCCTGACCCCCTCTCTGCCCCTTCCGTGCCCCCAGACCCCCTCCCCACCTGTCCCAGCCCCCTTCCCACCTAACCCTGGACCCCCTGACCCCCTCACTGCCCCTCCCCGTGCCCCCCAGACCCCCTCCCCATCTGCCCCCGAGCGCCCCTCCCCATCTACCCCCAGACCCTCTCGTCCCCCTCTGCCCATCCCGTGCCCCCCGGACCCTCTCCCCCACCTACCCCCTCACCCCATCCCGTGCCCCCCGGACCCCCTCCCTACCTACCCCCTCACCCCCTCCCGTGCCCCCCAACCCCCTGCCCTGCCCCCGGCCGTCCCCCCCGGTGCCGCCGCTCACCCTCCTCCCCGTACTTGTCGAAGATCTCCCGTTTCTTGGGGTCGCTGAGCACGTCGTAGGCCTCGGCCACCTCCTTGAAGCGCTGCTCGGCCCCCGGGGACCGGTCCTTGTCCGGGTGGCAGCGCAGCGCCTGCCGCCGGTAAGCGCGGCGGATGTCGGCGGCCGAGGCCCCCCGGGACAGCCCCAGCGTGCGGTTAATAATCCTTGCCCATGGCCGCCCACGCTGCTCTGGCACCGGGCACGGCGAGGGATCCGCGGGACGGGCACGGGGAGGGAGCCCCGAGGGGCGGGGGGGGACGGGGAGGGACCGGGGAGGGACCGGGATGGGGAGGGAGGGACCGGGATGGGGAGGGATGCAAAGGGATGGAGAGGGATGGAAAGGGATGGGGAGGGATGGGGAGGGACCGGGATGGGGAGGGAGGGATGGGGAGGGACCGAGGAGGGATGAGAGGGACGGGGAGGAATGGGGATGGAGCGGGGAGGGATCGGGGAGGGAGTGGGAGGGATGGGGAGGGATCGGGAATGGATGGGGATGGAGCAGGGAGAGACGGGGAGGGACCGGGAGGGATCGGGGAGGGACCGGGGATGGAGCGGGGGAGAGGAATGGACCGGGGGAGGGACCAGGGAGGGCCGGGGATGGAGCGGAGACTGGGGATAGAGCGGGGATGGACCGGAGGAGGGACCGGGGAGGGACCGGGGAGGGACCGGGGAGGGACGGGGATGGATGGGGATGGATGGAGATGGAGCGGGAAAGGACTGGGAATGGATGGAGTGAGGGATGGGGATGGAGTGGGAAGGGACCGGGGATGGATGGAGAGAGGGATGGGGGATGGAGCGGGAAGGGACCGGGGAATGGATGGAGAGAGGGATGGGGATGGAGTGGGAAGGGACCGGGGATGGATGAGGATGGAACGCGGAGGGACTGGAGAGAGACCTCGAAGGGACCGGGCAAAAACCGGGGAATGGGTGGGGATGGAGCGGGGATGGACAGGAGAGGGAAGGACCGGGGAGGGACCGAGGATGGAGGAGCAGAGGGCTGGACGGGAGAGGGACCGGGGAGGGACCGGGAGAGGAGAGGAGCGGAGGGGACGAGGAGGGGTCGGGAGAGGGCGCGGGGGGCAGAGGGGCGGAGGAACCGGGAGAGGCACCGGGGCTGGAGCCAGGGAGGGGACCGGGAGGGGATCGGGAAGGAGGGAGGGAGAGGGGACGGGGAGGGGCCGGGGGGAACGGGATAGGAACGGGATAGGAACGGGGATGGACCGGGGGTAACAGGGATGGGAAACGGGGAGGAACCGGGGATGGGAACGGCGCTGGACCAGGGAGGGATCGAGGGAGGGACCGGGAGGGGATCGGGAAGGAGGGAGGGAGAAGGGACGGGGAGGGAGGGACCGGGGGGAACGGGGATGGGAACGGGATGGGAACAGGACGGGACCGGATGGGAACGGGGATGGGAACGGAGATGGGAACGGGGATGGGAACGGGGATGGGAACGGGATGGGAACGGGGATGGGAACGGGGATGGACCCGGAAGAGACGGGGGAGGGACCGGGGGAAGCGGGGATGGACCGGGGAGGAACCAGAGGGAGGGAAACACGGGGATGGGAAGGGGACGGGAACGGGATGGACCGGGGAGGAACCGGGGATGGGAACGGGGATGGGAACGGGGAGGGAAACAGGGATGGACCGGAGGGAGCGGGGATGGGAACGGGATGGACACGGGGGCGCTGGGACATGGGGACATGGGACCAGAAGGACATAGGGACATGGCGGGGGGACATGGGGACACAGAGACAAAGGACACGGGTGACATGGGGACATGGGGGACACGGCTATTGGACACCTGGGGACAGGTGGGCAAGGGGACATGGAGGTACAGGACATGGGGACAGGGAGGACAAGGGGACAAGGGGACACAGGACATGGGGACACGGGGAGACGTGGGGACAGGGGAGGACATGGTGACGCAGGACATGGGGACACAGCACATGGGGACACAGGGGGGACATGGGGGGACAGGACATGGGGACAGGGAGGACACAGAGGGACAGGGAGGACATGGGGACACAGGATGTGGGGACACAGGACATGGGACATGGGACATGGTGACGCGGCTATTGGACGCCTTGGGGGACAGGTGGCTAAGGGGACATGGGGACGGGGGACATGGGGGGATATGGGGACATAGGACACAGGACATGGGGGACATGGGGACAGGGAGGAGAAAGGGACACAGAACATGGGGACATGGTGACACAGGGACACGGGGACAAAAGACACAGGGGACATGGGGACAGGGAGGACATGGGGACAGAGGGACATGGGGACACAGGACATGGAGATCAGGAGGGACATGGCGACACAAGGACATAGGACATGGGGGCACAGGACACGGGGACATAGGACATGGGACATGGGGACACAGGGGGACATGAGGACAGGGAGGAGAAAGGGACACAGGACACAGGGACATGGTGACACATGACAGGGGAAATGGGGACACAGGACATGGGAGACATGGGGGGACACGGGGGACATGGGGACACAGGACATGGGGACAGGGATGACAAGGGGACACAGGACACAGGGAGACATGGGGACATGGGGGACACAGCACACGGCGACACAGGGACATAGGACATGGGGACACAGGATGTGGGGACACAGGACACGGGACATGGGGGGACATGGGGACATGGGGACACGGGACATGGGGACAGGGCTATTGGACACCTGGGGACAGGTGGCGAAGGGGACATGGGGACACAGAGAGGGACTGGCCCCCCCATCCCATTGTCCCCATGGCCAGGAGTCCCTATGGCTGCACGGTCACTGTGTCCCAATGTCCCCTGGGTCCCAAAATGTCCCCATGGCCCCACAGTCCCTGTGTCCCAATGTCCCCTGTGTCCCAAAGTGTCCCATGGCCCCACAGTCCCTGTGTCCCCAAGTGTACCCCAAGTGTCCCCAAGCCCTGCCACATCCCCCTGGGCCTGTAGGGTCTGACCTACCCCACCCTGATCTGTGTCCCAGCGTGTCCCCCACGCTGTCCCCATCCCCACAGTGTCCCCATGCTGTCCCCATCCCCACAGTGTCCCCATGCTGTCCCCATGGTGTCCCCAGGACTCTCCAGCCTGCCATGACCATCCCAGCCCCCCGTGACCCCCAGGACCCCCCCATCCCCTGGGTGTCCTCCCCTGCCCCCCCCCCCCATTTCCTGAGCCCCTCTGTGACCCTTCAGGGCACTTGAACACCCCCAGAACCCCCAGACCCTGCAGCCCCCTCGGACCCCCCCAAACTGCAGAGCCCCCCAGTCCCTGTGACCCCTCCATTCCTCACGGCCCCCTGCCCTCCATGGCCCCCCAGACCCCCTAAAACTCCTCAGATCCCCCAAACCCCACGGACCCCCAGTGCCTGTGACCCCCCCCAAGTTCCTGTGAACCCCCCCCCCAGCCCCAAAACCCCCCCAGCCCCCCTTTGACCTCCCCCAACCCCAGACCCCTCCCATGACCCCGCCCCCCATGACCCCCCCAGACCCCCAAAAACTCCTTGGACCCCTCAAACCCCACAGAACCCCCCCAGTCCCCTGGAACCCCTCCCAGTCCCCATGACCCCCCCCCACCCTCCAAACCCCCCAGCCCCCCTTTGACCCCCCCATGACCCCCCCCAAACCCACAGCCCCCAGTCCCCATGGCCCTCTCACCCCCCAGAGCCCCCCATGACCCCTTTGACCCCCCAAACCCCTCATGACCCCCCCAGCCCCCCGAAACCCCCCAGGCCCTCTTTGACCCCCCCACACCCCAGACCCCCTCCATGACCCCCCAGAGCCCATGCGGTGTTTGCCCCGCCCCTGACGCGACCCCATTGGCTGATCTGACACCACTCCACCCTCCGCCCCGCCCCCTCTGCGCTCCCATTGGTTGCACTCTCCGTCACTCCATGCCCCGCCCTCGCCCTCCCATTGGCGGATTCCCCCTCGGGCGTTCGCGTTGCCGCGGCAACCAGCGCGGCGGGAAAGGGGCGAGCGCGCGGGCGGGACCGCCGCCTTCCGATTGGCCGCGCCGAGCCACGCGCGCGGCGCCGATTGGCCGAGATTCAGGCCCCGCCCCGGCGGGCCTGAGGGGGCGGGTCACGTGGGGGAGGCGGGGGGCGGCGGGAGCGGCGGAGCGGAGCGGCCATGAAGCACTACGAGGTGAGGCGGCCGCGCTGCCCGCGGCCCGGGCCGGACACCGACACCGGAGAGGCCCCGAGCCTCCGGCACCGCCGGTCCCGCACGGCGCCATCGCGGCGGCCCCGCGGAACCCGCGCGTTCCGCCCTGGGGCAACCGGGACGCGCTGTGCGCATGCGCGGTGGGCGTCGCGATGTGCGCATGCGTGTCACGGAGCGACTGCTGTGGGCGGCGGGGCGGAGCTTAGTCCGAATGGGGCGTGGTCTCTTAGGGATGGGCGGGGTCTTGTGAAAAGGGGCGGGGCTTGTGTTCCCCGTGCTCTCGGTGGTCCCCGAGGGTCCCGGAAGGTTCTGGAAGGTCCCGGAGGGTCCCGGGCCGCCCCCGCGGTCGCAGGCAGGGCCCTGAGGGGCCGCGGTGACCCCCGGAACGATCCCGCTGTCACCCCCCGAGCGCCATTGTCACCGTCACCGTGCCCCGGGGTGGCTCCCGGGCACGGCTCCGGTGGCCCACGGAGCTGTCACTGTCCACCTGCCCCCCCGTGGCAGTGTCACCTCCCCAGTGTCACCTCGCCAGTGTCACCCTCTTCCCCGTGGCAGTGTCACCCCCCCCCCCAGTGTCAACCTGCCCCCATGGCAGTGTCACCCTTCCAGTGTCACCTCCTGCTATGGCAGTGTCACCTCCCCAGTGCCACCTCCAGGGCCACCATAGGGCCACCGCCAGAGCCACCCCTGGGCCACCTCAGGGCCACCTCAGGGCCACCACGGGGCCACTTCCAGGGCCACCATGGGGCCACCATGGGGCCACCACGGGGCCACCTCCTGGGCCACCACGAGGCCGCTCCAGGGCCACCTTCAGGGCCACCACAGGGCCACCAGGTGCCACCATGGGCCCACTGCAGAGCCACTTCCAGGGCCACCTCCAGGGCCACCTGGTGCCAAACCCGGGCCCACCACAGGGCCACCACGTGGCCACCTATGGGGCCACCTCCAGGGCCACCCCAAGGCTACCCCAGGGCCACCATGGGGCCACCGCCACGGCCCACCCCCGTC